TTCTTCAGTCTTCCAAGCGCCCTTCGATTCCATGTGCTGGCACCCAATCCTGTAGCAGTACGAAATTTCCAAGATGGTACAGGCGACGACATGAAGGCAGGATATTCTCCTCGAGTTGCTCGATGTAACCGTCAGCGCTCACCTCAGTCTGGGGTCCACGAAGAAAATATTCGGTCTTTCCATTTCAGGTACGTCCGGTCCATACCATCAACCCGCGCCTTGGCGACTGCGGTGAAGATGATGTCCTAGACCGTAGCGACGTTGTCGAGCTGCTCGATGTTGGAGGTCTTCCAGATCGAGAGTACTGGTCTCCAGGTAGCTATCCATGGGTGGCTCAATACAAGAAGTTTGCGCAGCTGTCTGGAGGTACGTCAATTCCATAGGACTTCTTTGATCAGACTGTAACTGGAGATGGCTTCATATCTTGATGTGCATGACTATGATGGGCGAGAACCTGCCCCGCTTATCGATGAACATCTTGGGTACCTTCCGCCTTGGTACTCGTATACAGGGGGGGGGGGGGGCAAAAAAAAAGTCACTTCGACGGCGTAACATGGGTGACTCCATTACTAAAAGTTTCTTTTGGAGGGTGACATGAATTCCAGTCTTCTCCAGTCAGGCTGCGACTGGAGATGACTTCATATTTTGGTGTACATGAAGGTGATGGGCGAGAGCCAGCTCCTGCTTATAGAGGAACATCTTGGGTATCTTCCGCCCTGGTACTCGTATCCACGTCCTCTGTCTGGGCTGCGAAAACTTTGCTGATATGTGACTCGGTCGAAGTGACTTTTTTTTTGCCCCCCCCCTGTATACGAGTACCAGGGCGGAAGATACCCAAGATGTTCCTCGATAAGCAGGAGCAGGCTCTCGCCCATCACCTTCATGTACACCAAAATATGAAGTCATCTCCAGTCGCAGCCTGACTGGAAGAAGCCTATGGAATTCACGTCACCTCCAAACAGCTGCGAAACTTCTTGTATGGAGTCACCCATGGATAGCTACCTGGAGACCAGTACTCTCGATCTGGAAGACCTCCAACATCGAGCAGCTCCGACAACGTCGCTACGGTCTAGGACATCATCTTCACCCCATTCGCCAAGGCGCGGGTTGATGGTGTGGACCGGCCGTACCTGGAATGGGAAGACCGATATTTTCTTTGTAGACCCCGACTGAAGGTGAGCGCTGGCGGTTACATCAAGTAACTCGAGAAGGATATCCTCCCTACATGTGGTCGCCCGTACCTTCTTGGAGACCTTGTGCTGCTACAGGTTTGGGTGCCACCACATGGAATCGAAGGGTTTTGGAAAAACTCCCGCCTACTTCGAATGGAAGGGCGTTTCGTACCTGATGAAGATGTAATATTGAAATATGTCCCCTGACCTGAACCCACTCAATTACCTAGTTCGGGCGGAGCTCAACAGGGTGGTCTACAGTGGCGGAGAAATCAACGATCTCGCTCAACTCCGGTACCCACTCACTTTCGCGCGGCCGAATCTCTCGATGGCGCTCCTCCAGAAGGCTGTGGCGGAGTATCATTATAGTATTTAATGTGCTCTTTAATATGGTAGTAAAAATGTCCGATAAAAATTTAATAAAGTGTAACTTATAGCGCCTTGAAAGTCATGGAGGCAAAATGACTTTTTTTTGGCCCCCCCTGTATTTATGTATTTGTCCTATTCATTATTATCACTTCTAGAGTGAAAGCCTTTCAAAAATCCTTTCTACTCCATGTTTGTGGCAACAGGTAAGATACGGTTTGAATCATTTAGGTTGGCAGAGTTCTAAAATCAAAAGTTCGTGAGCAGTTACTGTGTAATTGAAGTGAAAAAACAGATCGCGCAGCTAGAGGTGATAAAAAACTTCCGCTTCTTGAACACTTCCGGCGCTGTTCCGCTTCGAGTGGGCACTAAATTGTATTGAGAGAAGGTCGCGCAGTCTAGAAATTATAAAGGAACTATTAATTTCTGCAACCAGAGTTGTTCACTCAAACCATATCCCAGTTCGCAGGAGTATATGTGGCTCAGTTTATGTAACTCTAAAGTAGACCTTCTAGTTGAATAAATTAGCAGAGAGAGTCACCGAAAGTGCAAATTGCACCCCCTATACAGAAGAGCGAAACATTCCCTCGATAAAAAGTGCGAAGTGACCATCACGTAACTTAGTGGAGGTAGTGGAGGGCAAAGGAGAAAGTCCAATGAAGCCCCGGTACCACAAATTTCATTTTCGTTCGAAAAGGGAATAGATTCAATAGAAAGCATAGCGCTCGCCATAAAAGAGGCAGATCGTACTTAAATGAGCCAGTAGAGGCACACTTTGGAACGATCTCAGCGCAGGAATCCCTTGTGTATGATGTAGCATTTTCGGCAAGTGCAGTAGTTATACTACTTCCGCGAAGGATATATAGTGAGTGAAAGTTTATCGAGTAGAACCGACTACCCTCTCTTGGAGACACATGTCGATGTGTGCTGATTCCTTCTGCAAACGCTCAGCATTTCTTCGTGGTTATCGAAACGCTCAAAAATCAGCGGCATATGCTAGTCTTGACTGGCACATTCACAATGGTTCACCTTGTACAGTCGTCATCCTTGCACTTGATAGTCAATGTCAGTGCGGCTGCGTGCGGCGCGGTCGCCCGCACCCGTACTGCACCAATCGTTGAACCAGGAAGTGACATTACTGTATTATATCCTTCGTGTTACTCGTTTTCTATCACTTTTTGTCGCATACGCGTTTCAACGAAAAGGCTGAGAAGGCTTCAAACAGTGTGCACGCTCCTTCTCGCCGACACGCCCCTATCAAGTGCAAGGATGACGACTGTACTTGAATGAAGGGCCCTTTAGCATGTACCAAACCAAGCTTACACCCTATTGCTCCTATCGCACAATACTTATTTCATGCTCAGAGGAAGTCTAATGAGTGTTTCATTTGCAGCTTTATTTTTTGTCTATGCTGTGAACACACGACACAGAGATGTCTTTCTAAGCTCGATAAACACGAATGATCTTCGTCTAGGAATTGCTGACGTGACATCTATTTCACTATGCTGTTTATTTCGCATTAAGAGCGAAATCGGTGGCTTAAGCCCGCGATTCGAGGTTTTGATTCGGGTTGCTGGTATAATTGCTTGCTCATCTTTTGCGGCCTATATGGTTGGAAATATGCTCATCGCAGTCAATCGATACTCTGCACTACGCCTGAAAGATCGATATGAAGAGGTTAGTGGCTTCATCACGATCATTTAACAACTGGAGTCCTCCAAACTGGGTTCCGAAGCGATAGTCAAAGTTTACTGACCGAGTGTTCGAATAGTCAAAACTGCACGCATTGAACGATCGCATAACTGCCTTTCATTTGGAGGAACGATTTGGTCTGGTTGTATGGACAGAGGCATCCAACCATAGTGCCGTTCTCTTTGGCAATTCCGTACTCTTACCAGCCTCAGAGGGAGGGGCTCTTCAAACGGAGGGGCACAGTGATCAAAAGTCTTTCAACGATAAGCATGGAATGCGCCTTCAATCGCTTTGTTAAGGTTTGGAACCGAAGAAATGTACGTATTATAATAGGACTACAATATGGCTGTGCCTTTGCAGCTTTCACTCCACTATTTAAAGCAGAAT